TCTGAAACAACCACCAAAGGACAGAAGCCTGTGTGCCTTACAGCAGAGTCTGTTACTCTTGGTATCAGGCAGCAGTATGAGTCAAGTAGCTGAGTATCTGTAAAAAGGGGTTCTTAGCTATTGACATTCTTCAGGTTTTGATCAGTTATTACAACATACTTGTCTTTTTCTGCTTAATGTTTCATTGCACAGATCTATTCATACCACTCCTTTTCTATTACTCAAGAATGGCTGTAGACTTAGAGCTGAATTTAAGTGGAGATTTTTCATTTCTGCAATTTCTGTACACAGCCTTGAGACTTGCTAAAAGCAAATACTATACTATGCAGTGCAGATGAGGTTTTGCATTATCTGCATGTTCTCTAGTCTTTATTTGAGAGGTCTTTCAAATGTGTAAATAAGGCTGAGGGGAAAAAAATAAACACCTCTGCTTATTCAGCTGTTTATTACAGCTTGTAAATTAGGGATGCCATCTATGCATCTGTTCCTGAGGTGCCTGATGTCGGAGTAGTAAAACAGCTGTAATAATCTGTATTCAGTCACTCCCAGAGGTGTGGTTAAGGTATCCTGCCACTGATGCAGAGCCATATTTGAGCCTCATTGTGTATCCTTTTCTTCTTACTGCTTTGGTGGAGAGGAGCACTGGGAGGTGAAGGTTGCTGGGCATGGAACCAGTCACATCAGTTTGTGTGCTGGGAGGCACAGGAAGGTGGGTTTCCTGTAGTCTAAAAGCTGCCTTGCATTGAGATTAACTTTTGAATGTTTTGATTTGGTCACTCTTGAAAAATGTATTTTGGACATGATGAACTACTGCTGTTTCATTACATGAAATGAAGAAGTGTTTCCCCTAAAAGTTAGGAGGTACTCTTTGTGACTATCAGTTGTTGTATATGAGCCAAAAATGTCATTGGCTGTTTCTGTACACTTTGACTTGGGCTTTTTCACTGTAAACAGTAGATACAAAGTTGTTAGAAACAGAAACTCTAGGAAACTATTCAAGATCATGAATCTTTCACAGTCCTCCTGTTCCTTTGTATTACAAAGATTTATCCGCTAAGATAACTTACAGATTTATTATGTTCCTTAGATTCTTGACCAAAGAATTATATGGATAAAGTGCAGTGTAAACAGCTCTGGAATCCAGTACTTCTGAATACAGATTTTCATCTATGTATCTCATTGCAGCAAATCTTGACATACATTATGTAATTTTTGCTGTTGTCTTTTTCATCCCAAGGCAGTGTTTCCTGTCAGCTAGAGGGAAATACCTGTTCTATAAAAAGGCTTCCTGAAAATCCCAAGGCAAATGAGATGCAGACGGAGTCTAGTTTGCAGTCGTAGGACAAATTCTTCTTACACACACTTTGGGTGTGAGACCATTAATGACTCAGCACATAGACACATCCTCTTATTTTATGAAATCTGTTATTTTGCTCTGCAATATATGGCCATTAGCTTATTTTACAAAGAGGATCATCTTGTAGGCTCTGTTAAGCTGCCACTACCGTAAACAGTGTTTGTGACAGCTATCAAAGAATGTGTACATACACATAGCAGTATAATCCTGTATTACATGTAGTGTATACAGCTTTGTGAATTGAATGTAGTGAACTATGGTTACACAATTTGCACTTTTTTTTTGTAAGTGAAGAGACATTTCTCAGATGTAACAGATAAAACAAAAAAATAACAGGTTTACCTAATTAAATATTTAATGGTAAGGAAAGTGCCAGAGTGCTGCTGAACTTAATCATTTATCATCTCTTCTTGTGTGTCAGCATTATTAAAAGAGTTCCTGCAAAATGAACTAATGAGCCCTTTTCATCAGCACTTTGATATACTAATATTGTCTGCACAAGTGCTGTGCTAAGATTTCACCATCTCACAAAGCATGATTTTGAAATTTGCCTATAGCAAGTGTTCTGATGGAGCAGTTCCCCAACTTAGGTTGATGCCTGCAGAGGATCTGACTTTATTTTCTGTAACTCAAAGGTGGCCTTAATGAATGTAGTAGACTTAGAGCAGATATGAAACCAGTATAGCTAAAAAATTATGTGTGTTATCAATTACAAATATCAATTATGCAGACTTCTGATTTTTAATGTTTTAATTTCTTTTTCTGACATTTTAACATCAGTCAAAAACATGCAGAATAGTGGAAAAAAATGCTTCCTTGCCTTGAAGATGCCTTATGCAATCCAGGAAGACAAGAGTAAGTTAGATAATAAATTGAAAGAGTCCAGCTGTTTATGGGGTAAAATCTGCATACAACTTCCATGTCTTATACACATGCATCTGGCCAAAATCAGCTTCATCTAGAGCAGGCTCTGTGTCTCAAAGCACTTTCCATTTGGAACCAGGATTCCTGGTGCAGTTGTTTATCAACTTACCAAGGGCCTGTCAGGGTTTGCTAGCTCCTGTGCAATGTCACCTTCAAGCATATGTAGGTGGAATTCCTTGTGTACACCAAATTCACACCAAATCTGAGAGACTACATTCATGGAGTTCTCCCTTCCTCTCCCAGAAGATGATGTGGAAACAGAAGCTTCTGTGGGAAGGACCCTGTGAATGTGTCTGACTTGGCCAGCAATGAGACAGTGTTTGAGTCAGTGTCTGTGACCTCCATTCCCCAGGACTCTGAACAGGGAAGGGCTTGTCAGGAAGCAGGGGAGTGCTGGGGCATGCAGGGCAGTGCAGGGCAGTGCTGGGAGTGCAGGGCAGTGCTGGGGAGTGCAGCACAGGAGTCCTGGGTGTGCTGCACGCCTGCCAGCCCTGAAGCCCACCTGTACTGGATGGGCTCAGAATCCCTGCACAGGGAACTGCTGTCTTCTTCATTACACACATAAACTTTTCCTGCCTTTTCCCAGTACTTCAGCAAATGGAGAACTTTTTGTGTGAATAAAGCAGTCTTTAATGTTATTACTTAGATCCCAGTTTTATGGCATAGAATGCCAGTATCAGTATCAGTCATATAGTCTGTAGTCCTAGAAAGTGCCAGTTCACCAATGAGGGAGGAAGGAGAGAGGTGCTCAAACAGCCTATGGCTCATATAGGGCTCATATAGGAGGCACTGCCTCCTCTCTTTATAACATGTACCACTGTAAGTAGAAAAACGTGCCTTTAGGGCTTTGCTTTTCCCCATCCTCATCCTGACCTATCTCCCTTTTACACCAACACCAAGGCTTCTCCTCTCCTCTTAACTCACTTTCATCCTTTTGTCCATTGGATGACAGTATTCACTTTTGACAGAATTACTGAAAATCCTCAACTGGCCTTTAATTTATAAGAATCTGTGTTAGAAATAAGCCCAGCTGTTAAGACAGCTGTATTTTTGCCAGCCCTGGGTATTTGTGCATATCCATATTGGCTAGTTTTAAATGCATAGTAGTAAAGGACATACTGAATTAGTTCCTGTGCAGTGAACCTGTGGTTGCACAGCTACTGAAGTCTGTAGTGGCCCTTTATGCTCATATGTAATATCTATTGCACAGAAAGAGTTATGGTCCTCACATAGGAAAAGCTGTGTGTTTACCTGATTTTCTTGAGACTTAATGTTCTCTGACTTCTTAGGAGCTGTTCTGTGTTTTAGGCAGATAATTCATATGCATGCCTGTAATTGAAACAAAAACCATGAAATTTTGAACATGAAAGTAAACTTCATTTATTTTTAACTTACATGATGTTTGGGAGAGATTAAATTAGGCATTGTTTAGAAAACTGTAAAATAATTATTTCTACATCAGAAATGAAAAATCATCCACTAAACATTTTCAATATATTTTAAAGCAAACTTGTAATCATTATAATGTTTCACTGTGGGCAAAATTCAACTGGGGGAAAAGGAGAAAACTCCATTTAAGAGAATTTGTAGCAGACCTCAATTTTGTTCTTTGCTTCTCAGCTTTTAGTAACCAGAAATTCAGAGCAGTGAGAGTCCCCAGTTTACTATATCCCCATGTACTGTAATTGGATACAGTTAAGTACCATCATACCTGGAGAAGAGGGAGCTTGATTCTGATGGAATTGTCCGTTCAGCAAGAGTCATTGCTGCTTGTCCTGACCTGTTTTTCCTTGCTGTGTTTGGGTCTCTTGAGACCAGTGGCCTTGGCAGGGGTTGGGTACATACGAGCTTGTGAAGTCCCATCATAATCACTCAGGATCTACAGAGAAGATCAGGAAGGACAGGAGACAAAATAAACCCTAACTTTTTTTTTTTTTAATATGTATAAAATTGTCTACTTGACCCTCATAATTGATTTTGGCAGAAGGATATACTTTATTATAACTTATTTTGTTGTTATTTGTAAATACAAGATGTCTATGGGAAATATGTAATTCTGAGCTGTGTCTATGGAACAAGCCACTGCACCAAAATATTTCAAATATTTAGAATAGGCAGATTTTTTTATTAAAAGGGACTTAATATGTATTTATTTGCATATACCATTCAAATTTTGTCCAGCTTTTTCATTATACTAACCCATCTTTTTAGGGAATTTTATAGCACAGGTATTACATATATATTTTTGTATATATGTCATACTGTAAATCCATAATACAATTTTCTAAACTTTCTGATTAGCCAGTTCCTTGAGTGAATTAAAGGGGGAGAGTATAGGCAAATTGCTTTCTGACTCGTTCGGGAATATATATCCGTGGCAATGTACCTGAACCAGAACTGTACAGCATCGTTTTCATATTGTATACATTTTCTCTTTGATGAAAAAATGTTAACTATTTTTGTTTATGACTAATTTATTTTTTATTATTGTGAAAAATAAAGTAACTTGAGATGAATTTATGTGACTTGTTTGGGGTTTTTTTCGGTTGATCTGCCCTTGAGTTTGGTGAGAATTTCGTGCATTTTTTTCACCTCCAGCTTCCAGCGCCTGCGCCGTTCCCGAGCGGTTCCGGGCCCCTCAGCCCCACAGCGCCGCCAGGGGGCGCCTTCCCGCCCTCCCGCCGGGCTCTGAGGGGACGGGCCCGAGCGGGCCGTGCCGGGCCCTGGTGTCCGCGCTGTGGCCCGCGGGGTCCCCGCAGGGTCCGGGCTGTATCCTCACCCTGTCCCCTCAGTCGGGAGCACGTCAGGGAACGCAGGGCTGTATCCTCATCGTGTCCCTTCGTTCGGGAGAAGATGAGGGAACGGGCTGTATCCTCACCATGTCCCCTCGTTCGGGAGCAGATGAGGGAACGCAGGGCTGGCGCAGGTCGCGTTCCGCAGCTCAGGGGCACCGCGTGTGGGGAATCAGTGCCTGTGGCCCTCTCTGGGGACACAGAGATTTCAAGTGTTTAATAACCTGGGGGTAGGTTGCTTGGGTTTTGTTGGTTGGTTGGGTTTTTTTGTTTGGTTTGGCTTTTGAAGTAGAACTTGAGGTCTTAAGCTATGAAATTATAAAATTATAAATCATAAAATTCCACTGAAACTAAGGGAACTACGCTAGGCTGCTATACCTGGCATATACGGGCAGTCTGTGTTAAATTTTAAAAAAGAGAAAGTATTTCCATTTTTTGAGTGGATCTGTTTTTATCTGCAAGAGAGTATCAAAACTGAAATAAAAGTGTGTTGTCCTGAGAAGTACAGTGAACTTATTTTCTCTCCCTTAGAATAAAGCTAGCAAATTTGCATAGGCATTGGAAGGGATGGACCTGACTTAGAGCAAAATAGAAGAAACATACCAGTGGAAGAAAATGTCACTGGAGCTGAAGGTACTGCTTTGGAGCAAGTCTAAGGTATCCTCTGTTGTTTTTTTCTTAAGGACTATTCACTTTATTATATCTCCAAACTTAAATGTTTTGTAAGTTCTAGCCTTCACTGCTCTTGCAGCTCTTTACCTACAATTTGTAACCTAGCTACTGCTGCTGGTCTCAACAACCTATTGGAAAAGCTGCAGCTAGTTCTAATTCAGTCAGGTGGTGTCAGACTGCAGAAGGTATTTCAAGTAGGTCAGAAGGCCTACTTAGTTAAAATAAAGTAACAGGTAACAGAAAAAGTAGCACCTCACTGTTTCTCCAAGAAGCATTTAGCACGCTCCTCCTAGTATCACTTAATTGGGTTTTGCAAGACCATCACAAACTATTTCCAGCAGTAGTATGTTCTTTTTGAAGATGATTTCCTGCTTGGAAAATTTTCCTGTTTGGAACAACCACTTTTTAATTTGTTTTGTGGAAAGCATTCTTCCTCTTTTTTTTACAGTTTGGGGATACTTTTTCTTGGAAATGGTTGCTATTGCCCTAGAATGGGAGAGCATGCTGTGGATACAGAATTAAGAATTAACCAGAATGTGGCCTGCTCAAAAAGACTGACATGAATTCACTAGGTCAGGTGAGCTTTTAAAGATGAGTGGATGCTCTTTGGCTGCCACAGAATAAAGGAAAATGAGAATTTATGAAATCCAGCCCAGCTTAATTATAAAGCAGCAGCTGTCTGAAAATGATTCTTGCTTGTAACCAAAGCAACTTGCTTAGCACTGAACTTTGGCTGAGAGTGGAGAATAAGATGTAGTCATTTTTTCTGGTTTCAGCCTAGAGTTTGGCAAGTGATGCTCTTGGCTATAAAAATGCGTGAGGCAGTCAGATTTTTGATATATATTGACTCAAAAATGTAAAGCACTGGGAGCCTGTAGCAGCACTAAACCTTTATGCTATTTTAGCAACAAAGTAGTGAAGGAGAGAACAAGGGGAAATGTGCAAATATTCCACCTTTTTTTTATGGATGTTAGGAGATAACCTTGGGAAAAGATGTTTATTTGAACAATTGCTTCCAAAAAAAAAGAAAGAGAAATTCTGTGCATACTTCACATTTTAACAGTTAAAATGCAGTGCTCATTTTTAATCATGTTCTTGCTGTAGCAATTTGACACATAGTTCTTTTAATTTAAAATGTGTCCAGTGCAGGAGGTACTGTTTTTCTTGAAACTATTATGCTTTTTACACTAAACTGTAATAAGTGGGTTCCCTTCCACCTCCATTTTTTTTTTATTGAGCATAATCTTTCTTAGCGTACAAAAAAAAAAAAAAAGCCCAATTTACCCTATCTTTTCTTGATGTAAACTGGCAAGTTATGCTCTTGTACTGGGTTGATAATTTCAACTTATGTGTCTTTGATGCAGAGCACAAAATACTTCTTTATTTAATGAGTGCAACAAATCATGTGTGTGGAAGATATGTGGACAATGGATCAGATTCTTAAATTCTTCATTCTTGCTAATGTGTAATTATATGAATACCTATTAAATCTCCATGTTTTATGCAAGCACTTTTGAAGGCAAGATTAGAAAGCCTAACTGTGAACTGCAAATGTAATCTGAAATCAATAAAATTAAATAGAGAAAGAAAGGTTACATTATAAAATACTGCAGTTGGAATGTAAAATGTAATAATCAAATGTAAACTGAAAAATTACAAAAAATCAAACTGAAAAATTAATTACAGGTAACACTTCCAGCAGTGTTTTTTTCTTACCAACATGAGTTCATGCAAGAATAGTGATTTCCCTTTCAGTAGCATTGACAAGATCTATACTTAAATCATGTGTCACATGGAAAATATTGTGGGAGATCTGAAAGGAGACTGAAAAAGGAAAATGAAAATGAATATATTTGTCTCTATCCACTATGAGTGATTTTTAAACAAATTATGTTTGTTTACTCTAGAAGGTAGAGCCTGGACATGGATTTAACAGTCCACAGTGTGTTAAGTTTTTGGATTCAATTATTTTGATCATTAGGAGGCTAGTGATAAATAAGAGAGTCTTGCAAGGGTAAGGGGTGAAAAAAGCAACTTACTTTTCAAGAAAAAAAGTGGCACTTACTATGTGCAAATAACAGAATTATTTTCTGACCAGGGGAATATGATGTAATTGATGCAGGATAAGGATGGATGTCTATTTTTGAATCTTACTTCAGGACATGAAGATGCACTAAGCAGTCTTCTAAAACTTTTTCTTTAATGTGCAGTACAGCAATAATGATAAGAACAATAAAATGATTCTGTTTGCCTTGGGTGTTCTGTGTCCTGTGAAATAGGGAATAAGTTGTGCTTAATTCTGGGAAATAGGCATATTCAGAGGGGGAATACTCTCAGAAATTACTCTTGTTTTGACTGGGGACCTGGCAAGAATAGATAAGTAGATAAATTTTATATACAACATCTCCTTGCTCAGAGCATCCAATTTCTTCTGATTTTAATGAGCTCTGAATGGAGAACTTGTTTCTTGCTAAAGGACAAAAGGTTAATTGTCATTCAGCTACCCTCATGTTCTACATCAGGAATACGGTTTTTTGGGTGGTTTTTTTTGTTTGTTTTTTGTTTTTGTTTGGTCTTTTTTTTCATGAATATGTATTTTAAAATATGTGTGCGTAGGAAGTGCATTCTAGTTATGAAAAGTCAATCCACTGGCTCTGTATCTTCTAGAGAACTTTGTTCCTTGTAAGGAGCAAGCTCTTGTCCTGCTGGAGTTGAACTTGGATGTTTGTCCTGGGAAACCACAGGCTGAAATTTCTTTTGGATGTACTCAGTTTTTCAGCAAAAAGTCTGTATTACTTAAAGCTACTTTTCCCCACCCACTTGTTCTGGAATCTTGCATGCATACCTGATTCCTAATTCCTTGCATTCATTTTCTATCTTTTGCAGGCTGAGTTTTCAGTCCATAGATACTTCTTAAACTGCAAGAGAAATATAATTCAAAGCTGTTTCACTTAAATTCAACAGTCCTTCACAAACTGCTAGGATATGCCATTCTTTGGGTGGGAATTTCTGTGGTGCTTATGCAAAGATACACATTTCTCTTTTATTGTAAGATTTCTGTAATATCAGAACATTTCAGCATTGTCTGGTTGGTTCCCAGTTTGTCAGTTGGTGCCCAGTTTTTCCACTGTGATGATGAATGGTTTTAGCAAAAAAGTTGAAGCATTTGGCTGTCCACATGACCGATGATTGATCAGCCCCAGAGTGCTATAAAGCTCAGTTGCTACTCCTGCCATTCCTTTTCTGCTGCTGAAAACTGGTAATTTTTGTTTTAGAAGTGCAGAGGGAATGACTGCCTTCCCATCCCCTGCTTCCAGCTGTAAAATTTCAGTTTCTCCTCACTAAAACAATGTCAGCACATTTAGCGTCTTTTCAGTGCTGTGCTGGAAAGACTTTGTATAATCCAGTAGGAGGCTTCTTGGATTTATTGATAATGATGCCAGCATAGCTGCACGTGATGCAGCACTTACATCTTCCTTTTTATCACTCAGAGTAAGATTGCAATAAAATATTTGAAAGTAGTTGTCAGCTAGTTTACTTCTTTCAGTCTGGTTCTGCAGCCTCATAGTATTCTGCAGAAGATGCAAAGTCACTTTTACCAAAATAGAACAGCTTTACTTTTCTGTTTAAGCTTATTAATATTTATTGGAAACTAAAATCTCTCACTCACTTGAAAGTGAGCTGAAGAATCTTGGTAAGTATTGCCAGTATTTTCATCTAGATAAATTTAGTATCATGGGACCTTTTATTTAAACACATGCATTTCAGTTGCATACCCACCTTTTGTGGCTCAGTGTGCTGCACAGTACGAATCTGCACAGTAATATTTGAATGTGCTTTGAACTGAACTACATCTCAATCTCTGGGTGCAACTTTTTTTTTTTCTTGCAGTTATCACCAGCAACTGAAAAGCTGGGTAGGAATTTCATTCTAAGGCTTAGATCCTTTCAGTTTCAGAGTCTATGCTCATGCAGGGCACTTGTATGAGAAGGTCACTTCCCTTGTATTTGATGTAGATGGTTTTAGTCTGAGGCAGCAAGTTTCCTTGAGGCACTTGAAGCAAAGCTAAGAGAGTTTTGTAATAAAACATGATCCTTTCATTTCCATTTAAGTTAATGCCATTAAGAAAAACAATCCTTTCCACAACTGGAATTAAGTTTATTACACTGGAGAAGGAATGGAAATTGTGTTTCCTGGTAGAAATTGTATTTCCTCTGCAACTTTTGATTTTGGATTTCTATTAGCATATACTTTGTGGGTTTTCAGTTGGAAAATATTAGCTGCAATTGAGATTGAAGGTGCCTCATTTCAGAGGCAGCTAAATGACAATTTCAGCTAATATCAATGTGAACACTATATTTTGGATTGTTTTGCTGTGTTTTTTTCTAACTACCTTCTTGTCTTATTTTTAAATGTAAGTCAGCATTTAGCTATGCTTGAGAAATAGCATGAGTTTTCCTTGTACAGTGCCTTTCATTTTTAAAACATTGCACTATGCTTTCCAAAACTTGGAAGTTGCAAACAGGAAATAATTTAACAGTGCCTTGCTCATTTCATACTGAAGAAACTTGACCATGAGTTCTATTGTTCAGTGGAAGAGCCTTGTAATGGCACTGTCAGAGGGCTGTGGGAGTTCTGAGTCTCCCAATACCCTCTCTGTCAGCAATCCAGAGCTTTTTTGCTAGGGAAACGTTCTAATTACCGTGATGGGTTAGGCAGTTGATCTCTGTGTTCTCCTAACACAACAATAATGAGAATATAACACTTTTCTTCCTCATACAAATCTGAAGTATAGAATGTTTTACCAGAGTGGGTAATAAGTTTATTGTTTATCTGAATCAGATATCTAACACTGCAATGTTACTACCCCCCAAAAAGCAGAAAAAAAAATCCTTAATTTGCTTTCCTTTTCATAGGAATATTTTACTGTTCTGTCTCTCACAAAACCAGCCTCCCAACCATTGTGTTACAAATGGTGAAAATGT